GAACCCGGGCCGCACGCATGCCAGGCGAGCGCGCTACCGCTTGAGCCACATCCCCAGCCCCCCATTTTAATTCTTGACCATCTGATTAATTCACTAAAAAGAGTGAGCTGAGGTTTCTGGAGTCACTGTGTTGTGCCATGATTCTTCCAGTGGTGGATGTTCAAACAATAAGAGGCATGAGTAAACTCCTAGCTCCTATGCAAAAAAAAAAAAAAAATTGAAGACAGTTTTCCTGAGAGAAACAGTGTGTGAAAGACTGCTTTGCTAAGCTTAGAGAAACTCTTAGGAGCATGCATGTGGGCGAGAGAAAATCAGAGGGAAGGATAAGAAGAAAGATTTGATGTAGAGACCAGAAACGAAACAACAACCAAAAAAAATCAAATAGCTTTTTAGAAAGTTTACCCAATATATCAAGCAACTCTCTTCTTTTATCTGGAAGTCCTAAACCATGAAGGACAACACCAAGCAAAAATAATCAACTCTGTGGATGCCCCCTGGTGGCCAGAATAAGAATGGCCTCGGTGAATGGAAAAGTGGGTTTGCTTGGGGAGATAATATAGCTTACATTTCACTCAAAAGGTAACCATTCTAAATATCTTTGCTTTTGCTTTATCATATAAAAATCATTAGTGTTTCCCCACATACATATTTTTCACTTGTTTTTGTGATTTACATAAATTGTTTGATACTGTGTGTAATCTTCAGGAATCTACTTTTTTCCACTCAATGTGTTTTAAGAAACATAGATATTGTTTCATAAAGTTATAGTTCATTCTCATAGTTTATACTACATATGATACATTCTTTCATTTGTAGCTGGATGATTTCTAGTGTTTTGCTTTATGAGCAAAGCTCATTCAACATTTGTGTATGTGTCTTCCAATGCACAAAAGTTTCTTGAGGTTGTTACCTTAAGAGGTGAACTGCTGAGGGGAATTTGTAAAAATTTGATGGTATTATTTCTTCTTTAGGTGTTTGATAGAATTTACCATTTGGAGCTTGGTGTGGAGACACACACTTGTAATCCCAGCAACT